AATTGGGGGAGAAGCTCACCCAGCAGGAAGGTAACCGGCTGGGTTCCTCTTTCCCAAGAGTGGGGAGGATTCAGGAGCTGCAGGGGGGACACCAAAGCCCAATCCATGCTGCCAGAATTGTGCAGACACCGCATTTGACACATGCCCCAGAAGGCTGCAACTAGATGCCAGCTCAGTGAACTCCAACCTGAGCCCAGGGGAACTAGGGGGTCTAGTGATAGTAGGGAAGTCTGCCGGGGTGAAGGGAATGCTGGTGTCTTTCTACCTGCCTGGCTAGCTCCTCTGTCTGGGCTGCCACACCCACCGGCCCCACAGGCTGCCACTTCTAGTTAGGCTGCCCGGCTTGCCAGTCAGTGGTTAGGGCGGGAGGGCTGAGCTAGGATGCAAGTGCATGGAGGAAAAGGGTTCAGACCTAAGGGACCTTTAGCCTTTGGTTAAGTCACAAGAGACCAATGGAGGGGTTGCATGGCTGTGGTTTGAATTAGATTTGATTCCTGTCTCTGCCTCATTCTGGTGGACCTCAGATGAGTTTCTTAATATCTCCCAGCCCCCTCTGCTTATAACAGACAGTCCCTCAGGACCCTCCAAGAGCTAACACCCCATAAAGCAGTCTGCTTGGATTTGACATGAAGTCAGAGGCACAGCGCAAAGCATTTAAAAATAGAGCTACGGAAGGCACAGTCCACTGCCCCTGCCTCCCCAGGCCGTCAGCTCTCACGTCTCAGCTTCCACTGTGGCTGTTTTAACATGAACTTCGGAAACGTGGGCTCTCCTGCCTTCCTTCCGGACTCTGAGGATGCCCTCGGCCTTTCATGTGCCGGGTGGAGTGTTAGCGGAGAGGACCCGCTGGGGCTTTAATTCTTGTGGTTAATGATCTCTATCTAAAACAACACCATGGCTCCCAAACTCACACACGCCTCTCATTTGTTTGACCAGTAAAGAAACATTTCAAAGAAACTGGCAACATGGTCCAGACAAGCAGGGAGATTGATTTCCCTTCCCCTTGGGGAAGAGAGAAAAGATGGCACCAGAAGTAAGAGTCCTGCAGCCTGGGCAATTGGAAGAAAACCTGCAATTTTCTTAGGAAGCATCCTTGGAGCAGCTGGGAGAGGCTGCCGGAGGCCTTCTCAGGCTTGGGACGGGCTGACTCCAGCACCCTGGTTCTTTACGGTTCAGCGTGAACTGCCATTCCTCCCACAAGTCCTCCTCAGACTCCAGCACCTGGCTATGCGGGCGGCTCCTTCTCTGGACGGGGGGCGGCTGCATGGCTGGCACTGGAGCGGGTCTTGGACCTGCCCACTGGGAAGGTTTGAAACAAGGGGCTTATGGGTAGAAGCTTCTCCATGAAATAAGATAAATTACAGTCTCCTCAACGGTCTAAAAATACTCAGAACTACCATCGGCCGAGGCACAGAGTGTAGTAATTACATTTTAGAGGAGGATGGCCAGAGAATTGCAGGATAGTTTATGACTGCCCAGAATTATGTGACTGGGATGTGCAGCTGCAGGGAAGCTGACCCAGGGCAGTGAGACAGCTTCTGCAAGAGGGTGAGGTTGGGCCAAGTACCCAAAGGTAGGCTGGCCCAAGAGGCCACTGTGAGACGTGCAACCTGGAATGGCTCTTCTGGCCAATGCCTGAGACAAGCTCGCGTTTTGTTTGAGGAATCCAGAACCAGAAGAAACAGGTGAATGAAATGATTTCTTTTTTTGAGCAACATCAAAGAACAGTGGCAGTTTTGTATGCTTTGAGTTTTAAGTACAGTTGAATTCATTTTCTACCATCTATCCCCACCTCCAAAACACATACTTTAAAAAAAAAGAGGTGATGGTAGCAGACACCACTTGTCACCAAGTCCCTTCTTGGGGTGGGACATGCCCATCTGAAAGGTGAGGCAGGCAGGCCAGGAGCAGGCCAAAGCCTGGGCCAGGGTGGCCCGGGGGGAGCTGCTACACTGTCCACTGGGAGGCTGAGAGAGTGGGCTGTGGAAGGTAAGATCCGTGCCAAAGGTTCCGGAAAGTATAGGTACAGGAGTCAGATATTTTCTTAAAAAAAAAAAACAACGCAAATTGGCTTCAGTGACTGGATCCTCACCAATACAACCCCCCATCCCCTACCCGAGCCCCTGCAGAAAGCCCGATTAACTCTAAATTGAATCAGTGGTCTCCAAGGATAGGGCGTGGGTTGTCCCTTCTGTTCCTATTGTATTTCCTGGTCTCTGGGAAGAGTCCGTGGGACACGCAGGGAGGATCTCCTGGGAGCCCCGCCCCCTCATGAACTCAATGTCTTATAACGTAACACTAAAGCCAAACTGAAAAATTAATGTCATTTATTGCAGTGGATGATCTTTTCAAGGAAGCAAATATTGAACCAAATGGCCAAGTGAAGTATGAAGAATTTATCCACAAGATCACCATTCCTGTGCAGGACTACTGAGTGAAGAGAATGCAGGAGAGCTTCCCTGGGCCTGAACACTCAGACTGGTTAATTTTTTAAAAGGAAGTGTTCCTTTCACTCTAGGGAGATGGCAAACACGCAGCAAGATGACCTTACCTGAGGAGCAGAGTATAATTTAGCAATGGAAATAAATGATTTCAGTCATGGTGTTAGCAAGTCTTTAATAAAAGATGTTCATTGATTTTAGTAACTACCATTAGCCTGGCATGGAAGGAGCCTATGGTCTGGAGCGGGGCCTGGGTTCCAGTCCTGACTCTGCCACGTCCCAGCTGTGTGACTCTGGGCAAATCATTTCCCCTCTCAAAGCCTGAGGGTATTCACTCAAGTTGGATTCCTCCTTCTGACCTCATGGGGCCTGTCGAGGATGGTCTGAGATAATGCCTTGAAAATGCTTTTGCAGACTTAGAGCACTGTGCAATCCTCGGTTACCACAGCAGTGCTTCTCCTGAAAAAGGCACTCTAGCAAAAACTGTATTCTTTATTTGGCTAAATAATAGTGGAACCACCTTCCACAATTGCAAAATAAAGCCAGAGCTGGCTGAGAAAGGGCAACAAGAAAAGAGCTAAAAACAAGCAAACAACTGTGGTAACATTTCTTGTAGCATCACAGGGCTACTTACAAATTCTCCCATTCCCATCTCAATACATAGTAACATAATTCAGGATATTCATTCATAGAGTATGGGGTGAAAACACTCATGTTCAAAGCAGCATCAGCTACCAGTAGGGGGAGTGATCCGACTTTACGGCCCGCACCAAAGGAAACCAGACGTGACACTGAGGCCCTGCAGAGCTTGCGAAGGCCCCTGGCGAGGCCCCTGTCAGAATCTCAAGCTCTCCCCTGGCCTGTGGACGGGGAGGTTTGCGGCACCAGGATGGTCGGCTCGAGTGGGCCAAACTGATCGTGGCCTTCAAGCCGTTTCCCCAGGACTCACGGAGACGAACAGGGCCCTGCAAAACGCAGTAGGGGTACCGGCCCTGCAGGGAGCTCTTCATCTCCAGTGGATTTTTAAGTGGGTTATTTAGCCAGCAGGTACCAGGCTGCTGCTGCCTGTGTGCTCATCCAATCTGTGGACATTGGTGGTCAGCACAGCCCTAAAAAGGGCTGGAGTCACACACCGGCATGTTGGGGTGTGGGGGTGGCAGGGAGCAGGGCAGGACAGAGAGCTCTAAGGAGAGATTTTCATCCTTATATGTTATCACAACTGGGCTTTCTGGGCTGTGGCTTTTTCTAATGGTGCCTTCGTGGCTAAAGGAGAAAACCAAACTAAGAGGGAGGTGTCTTTGAGAGGTTATCCAGGACACCGATGTCAGGGCCAGGCACGAGAACTGCAGGGGACCGGCCAGCCAGTCTTGGTGCATCCAGCTCACGTGGCTTCAGACGGAAACCAGGTCCTGAGAGAAGAGAGACTCTCACTTTCCCAACAGTGTAATTGCCAGTGGGAGTGAAGAGGAATTCCTGGGAGCCGCAGGGAGGGTCGTGGGTGGGGGGTGGGGGAGCAGGCAGTAAATGGCCCAGACCCCGATCACCCAGCCGGGAGCCTGGGTTCACAAGGTGCAGAGGCAGATCCGTTTTGTGGGGCCTGAGGCTTATGCGATTTGGCATTCTTCTTTAATACAAAAATAGAACTATAGAATTTCTAGGGCTCCTCCCAGGACCCTGGAAGAGGTCAGAGCACGGGAGGGGCCCCGGCGCTTAACCATCACTGTCTCCTGACTCACCTGAGGACTGGTTAATGTTGGCTTGAACAACTGCTGTATGTCATCATCAGGCAAGGCGCCCCGGTCCTAGCCCGTCTCGTTTGACTCATCCTGGACACTAGGAAACCAGTCCACACATCCAACCTGGAACACCAGGGATTAGACAGCAGGTAACTATGGTTCAGACGGGACAGAAGTTCTGGGCTGTAATAACAGGATACTTTCCGTCGGAGCTTTTTTATGTCTGTCACTGAATGATCCCAGTATGCTCTTAAAGCGAGTTTTCATCATCTCATTTGCCTACCAGGAATCTGCAGTACATTTTGCCAAAAGTAAGTGGAATGGAGTGGTAATGAGAACCTGAAGCTCTTCTCCACAGGGGCACGGTCCTGATTGAGGGTGTTCAGTGGTTCCAAGATCCTGTGACACGTTCTGCTTTAAATCTCTACTCCAGGAAAGGCCTCTCCACTACCCTGTCTGGGTTTCACAATCATTCCTGAAATTCCAGTTGGTTTACCTAGCACCTCGTATTGTTTACAAAGAAGGCCACAGTGTTGTTAGCACTCAAACTGAAAATGATTCAACAAATTTAAAACTAAACGGATGCTGCGGTTCATCACAAAGCTAGCCAAATTTCAGTAAGAAAGAGGAATGACAGCTGTATACTCCTCACTCACCTCAAAGCATGTTGGAAGAGGACAGGTGAAATCCATGCCAATCCTCAATTACCACAGTAGTGCTTTGAACTCTGGCTGAAAGGTGCTTTGGAAGTTCAAAGTATTATCACTTTCCTCATAGGGTCTGTCCCCTTGTATACCCAGCAGTATATTTTACAGAAGACAAATTAACTGAAGGCTTTTCTTTTATTACATCTAAAGAGCTCTACATAAACAGGTAACATTCAATAGGTAAACAATTTTTTTTTCCAATGCATGTAATAAATATTTTCACTTGGTACTTTTATACAAACTGACATTGGTCTACTATACATTTTTAAAAGCCATTTTACTGGTTTGGCATGCGGTATGGGAATTCTAAGAGAGAAAGTTTTAAGGCAATGAATCACAGATTTAAGTTTCATGGAATTTATGGTAACTTTTATATCTGTTTATATACATTTTCCCCTTTGTTAATTAAACAATTAACAGCAGCACATTCTGGGACCACCAGCTATTCTCCCTCCTTCTTTCTGAAATCTAAGCTTTGTGTTTTCTTTAAATTAAAAAACAGAATTCAACATATATTGATAAAACAAAATCCTTACTAATTTCACATATGCCTTAAAGTCCCGAAGATCTTGAAGTGTTTTATGTACTTAAAATTAGGAACTGTTTAAAAACAATGCTCTTTCCACGATTAGTAATTAAATATTGGGATGTATTTTCATTGAGCTTCAGACATTTGACTTAAAGGAAAATCTGCGAAGAAACTACATTTTTCAGATGCTTATGTGAATCTTTCCTAAGTCAGTAATGATGTATTGCGATAATGTCTAAATCAACATATGTAAAAAAGTTTTAATGTTCAAAAAATTAGTCAACCAAGTGTGGTATAGTTAAGGTTCAGACTGTTTTAAAAAGATGTGTCCAATAATGCCCATAAAATAATTAAAAGCCACTTCAACCCTGCTAGTCAAACAGCAATTTTATCAAAGATGTGTGTGCATATATGCATATGTATGTATACACACAGACAGTACTTACAGAAACGCAAACATATGACACCTAGTATGAAAGACCAAGGCAAGGGGGATGGTGGCAACTCGCCTAGAAATTCTGAGAATTGCTACTGTCCGCAGACAGCATGTCAGTGTTGGCATGGGTGGGGGGAGGGAGGGTCGGCTAAGGCAAGAAAGAGATGAAATGCCTACGAGCTTTTTGTGAAACTTAGAGAAGATAAAGATGCAGTGCATAACTCTACTAATAATTACTGCAGATCATGAAAGTCTGAGTGGCTAGTATCAGCCATGAGAACGGAGTAACAGCCACTACTAATGCAACATTCTGGAAAGTCAACAACTGAAGGAAACATACTCCTTAGAGTGGAGTGAACTAAAACGAAAAGACAATCCAACGGTTAGTTTCTCCTGTGGAGACGTGAGCAAAGCCACAAGACAAGACATTTAGTTCTATTACCTGTTCTTCCCTTAGGTTGGTATAATGGGGGACATGGAGGGAAATTAAACATCTCTAAAATGGGACTGAAGCAAGTACAGGGATGGGTTTTCAACTGGATAAGAGTTTGTAATTCAGCATCATACACAAAGTTATTGATCAGAACTTTGAGACAACTAATGACAAAAAAAACCCCAAACTATTTGTTTTATCTTAGGTAGTTGAATAGAAATGTTTCCTACTAAATGTGAAATAAAAAGCAATTCCCCACAATTTAAGTAATTTCTACCCCAATCTGAACTTAGACACAAATTATACTATTAGATATTAGTCTATGGCAATGAGAGTTCTTAAAGTGTTTACTCAGATTTATTTAAAAACTATTTGCTGTTTTAACCAACAATGAACTTTTTATTGCAAATTTAGTGACTATAACTCAGCCATGTTTGTGTGGAATACACATGCGTAGGGGAAGACTATATAACTCACTTGTCACTCATACACACATGTCTATAAATACATATATACACACACACACATATACATATCAACACCAACTTGTTTTTTAAAATTCAAGTCAACAATTTAGTGGCAGAGAGATGCTATAAAAACGCATTATTTTTAGATGCCACACAGTCATGTGAACCATTCATTCTTCACAAACTGAAGATTCAGCCATCTTGAATTCTACTTGGATTAAAGTAGGTCATTTTGTTACCACTGCAAAGTCTAAAATGACAGTTTTATACACAAAGGTGGTCCTTCATCAACTCTAAGAACAACTCTGAGAACATTAACAGTTGATATAAAAATCATCAGGAAAGCTGCTAATCATTATGCCCCTTATCTTTTCTGTTAAACCTGCTATACTCCTCAATCAGCTAAAAAAATATTTTAAACACCTTCAGCTCTTCCCTGAAGAACATAATACCTTCTTTACTGAGGATTTTGGAACACAAGTAGAACCACTTTTCCTTCCCTCTAACCCTCACTCATCGCCTGAAAAACAGTTTTTAATATTTACATGCTCCATTATTACTAATAGATCAGATTCATGAATTCTAAAAAGAACTTGACTTTCCTATGTCATGCTTTCCTTTAAAAGGTGAGGAAAAAAATAAAACAAACCATATAGCTAGGCTAAGAAAATAAGTACATTCAGAACCAGGGAGAAACAACGACTAGGGATCAAGCCCATCATGAATTTCAACTGTTTCTCAGATAGGAATTTCTACAGATTGACGTGTGTGGTGCATTGCATTTCCCTAACAGAATTTACTTTTCAGATAACCGACTTTCTTTTCTTTTCTTTTCTTTTCTGAGGTGATGGAACCTTACCTCTGTCAGCTGCTCAAGACACCCAACAGTGCTTTCTAAGCTATTTTTACTTCCTACTTTGGCATGAAGATCTCACAAGAAAACTTGTTACCCTGTGGCCAAAAAAGCAGGTGTTCACAGACTTGGTTTAAATACATAATACTGGCAATCCAAATTTAGAATAAAGAACTAGTCGAAAGTGTATTTCTCACAGGTCTGCAAAGCCCTCTCCTTACCCACACAGTTTTACTCCAACCTCTAAAACATTTCTCAGGGATATCGAGCAAATAAGAGAGAATATGTGATGGACAACATGCAATTGGGATAGTCAATAAAGATGCGCAGATGTGAGTTCAAGACCTTCAGAGCACTTTGAAGGAAGCAGGCAACTGAATGCAAACTTGGGAGAAGGAACAGTAATGACAGAAAAATACACACGGACACACAAACCGAACACACACCCACCCACGAGCTATGTCCTGAAAATACAACGGGAATGCAGTGGGACAGATGAGATTTATAACTTAAGGCTGGATAAAATATGCACACCCACACAAACAGAACCCCAGTCTGTCATTTTTAGAAAATGGAAATTAAAACTATCCCCCCAGCCCCCTCCCCACAACAAAGAAAAGCCCACAATTTAAAACTTCATACATGCAATTCCTTTTGTTATTGCAAATAAAATAATGCCATTGAAGTAAAATAAAACCAAAACCATAGGACAAATGATGAAAAAAATCTTCAGAATCCAGGAAAAAATGAACTGAAGGTGGTTTGTGGGTACTTGCTTTTTTTTTCTTTTTTTCTTTTCTTTCCTTTTTTTTTTTACAAGTGTTTTATCAGATAGGCAGTCTTAGATTTATATACAAAAGTAAAACTGAAAATATAGTTTTGTTCTCTGTACATTTCTTTTAACTTTTTCCCTAAAAAAAGGAAAAAAACACGCTTGTGTACTTTTCTAAACAGAATAAGGTAAAACATCGCACAAAGTTCTCTTCTTTCTGCCAAAGTTCCTTAACCTGGCGCGGGCACGGGAGCGGCAGGGCGAGGCGATCAGTCCAGTGAGATGATGTCGGGGATGATGCCGAAGATGGACGCCGCGTCCGCGCCGCCTCTGCTCGCCACGGCGTGCGCGTGGCCCTCCCGCAGGCTGTTGGAGGAGACGAGGCTGCTGTTACTGCCGCTGCTGCTCCCGTTGGTGGTTGGCAGAGAGGCACTGCCTCCTGCGCTTAACTGATCAAGAAACATCTGTGAGGAGGTATATGGAAAAAACCGAGACGAGTGTAAGAGGTCTTGATCATCTGAAACGGCGGCTGCTGCGGCGGCAAGGAGGGAGGTGTTATAATGCTGGTGGAGGCAAACAAAAGACAAACATTGTTAATTATACTTATAAATTAGTATAATTCTTATAAATTCTTATAATTCTTATAACTCTTATAAATTCTCAGCAGAAGAAAGTCCTAATTTGAATATATTCTGAGTTTCTGAAATATTCAATAAAATGCTCTGCAAATCAAATGTAATGATCTCATTATTGATCTTGAGACACTTCTGTATCTCAAACTGGGGAGGAAAAACAGAAAACAAAAATTTTTTTTGTTCTTTGTTTTGATTTGTATTGCAAACAATTTTCAAAATCCTATTTCCAAAGGGTATCAGGAGCAGCCAAAGGAGGACAGTCCGTCCCCTTTCCTCTTTTATGGAACAATTTGGCCATGAAAACAATCACTTAATATATCATTCACTGTCCTGTTTCTTTGCAAAACAGTACTGGAAACCACGAAGTAGATACTGTTCTTAACTATATACTCAGGCACAACTGAAACAAAGGGGTTTTTATTTAAATTCTTGAAACCGTAACAATAATGGGTATGACTACTCTGAATTTTCTAAGCAAACGTCTCTCTTGGCTATATATTTTAATTATTTTAATGTACAGTTAAAACAACAAGAACTTTTTTCATATAACATACCTGATTGTCTCCTGATAAGAAAGGAAAGAAATCTAATCCTGTGGGAGAAAAGATTATTTTAGTTTTGGGGAAAAAAAACCAAACAAAGAAAAAACCCTCCCAAATGCCCTACTACTTTGAAAATAAACACAAATGCTAAATGCTAATTGTAAATTCATCTAGAATTTTATTTGAGCACGAGGAGTCGAGCTGAATGTTGTACGTCCCTCCCACCTCTAGGCTCCTACAGCTGAGGGCCGAGGTCCAGCAGAGATTTGCCCTCTGTGTGACTCCTGCTATGGAACTTGGCCACGGCCGGCCCAACAGAGCTAACGTGGGCCCTTTAAAATGGTGGAGCCGTTTCCCCCAGATGCTTTCATGGACCCATCTTAGACACCCTTTCCATCTACCCTAATTTATTCCTCACAGGAACTCCTTGAGGTATGTAATTATTTTGGGCCTCATTTTGTGGATGAGAAGTGGAGGTTAAAAGAAGTTAAGCAAGTTGTATCCCAGATTTTCTTTCTTTCTCAAATTTGCTCACTTGCCACTATTTATACCAGATAAAGACTCTCGCGGCATGAGGGGGCAGGAGGGCTGAGGGTACTGGCTGGGTGGTGGCTGCTACAGAAAGCCCAGGCCTGATGTCTGGCTGCCAGGAAGTCACGGCCAGCAGCCCCTTCTGGTTCACAGTCTTGTCCACACTGCCCCTTGTGCAGGGTGACAAGAGCAAGTAAACCGACATGAACAAAGCGCCTCACTGTGATGTCTGAGCTTGGGGAAACGTATAACAAGCAGACGTAGACACCAGTACGACAACAGTACAAATATTCTGGGGATCAACCCACTGTCTGCACTAGAACAGATGATCACATGAGGACCTGCAAAATGCACAGAATCGTGGTACTTGAGAGTGAGATTCGGCAGGGAGCTAAGTGGAAAACAGGGCTGCGTTGTCCAATAAAGTAGCCACTGAGCACATGACATGGCTATTTAAATTTACTAACAGAAAGTAAAATGAAAAAATTCAGCTCTTCAGTCACACTAGCCACATTTCAAATGCTCACCAACCATATGTGGCTACTGATTACTGTATTGGCCAGGATAGATTACAACATTCCCTCACTGCAGAAAGTGCTATTGGACAGAGCTGAAATAGGGTTTTCATAACAATCACTAAGAATTCACTCAATTACCTCAACTCCCAAGAATCCTTACCACTGACCCTGGCTTTTTTTGTAGGGAAGAGGGAGAGAGAACCTTCCATTTAATGTTTTTGTATTAAATTTTCCACAGTGAGCATATATGGCTTTTTGTTATAAGAAAAATGTTTTTAGATTATATGGCTAATATACCAATTAGTAAATTACAAAGATATATGAGAACTAGTAATTCCTTTTTAATGTAAATGATTGTTATGAACTCAAAACACATTCTACAAATGAGTATACTGACATTTTAAACTACTTTTAAAAGGAAGAATCAAGTTCACTGAAACAAAAATGAAAACTTTCCAATGTCTCAATTCAGCATGACCTAAAAGACAATGCAAGAGCTCTAACACCTGTTGCATTATAACTGTATTTAGGGAACAAAAACCTAATTTTCATAAGTATCAAAATTCAAAGCAATATACTGAAAGTCATCCAAAGGCAGCTTGCAGACTACTGCGAAGCTCACCAAACCTAACGACCATTCCACTAGCTTTATCACTGTAGCAGAACACTGGCGACTGATGATGGCATGAATAAGGAACTGGGTCTGTATTTATGACCATGGCATGTATTTCCCCCAGTTCCCTAGGTTCGTGTCCCTGTATTCGCCATTTTCAGTTCTTTAATTCTTCTTCAGACTTACCCAGCAGACTATGTGGATGGAAGGCAGTCATAATGCTATGTGGCGGTACAGGAGAACCACTGACTCACCTTGTAAGTCGTAAGGCATGGGTGTCATGTGGAACGGATGCCTGTAGTCTTGGATGAGGGATGTGTTGACGTAGCTCGTGTCTACAGCAGGGAGGCTTGGGGTGCGGGACACTGGAGATGCTTGATGTGGAAGACTTAATATGCTGGAGGAAGGAAAAGTTTGCATAATTTTCATGAGTCAGTTAAGTTTAACAAACAAAAGGGTTACATTCACAATGAGTCCTAGCCCTTGTGCTGGAAATAAAATGACAAGTAAAGCAATACATTAACTTAGACTACTGTAACTATTAAGAAATAATTGGTATACTTAATAGCATTTTGCAGGGCTAGAGGAAGAAATGGATAGATGCAATGGTACTGAACATTCATGAATTGCATAGTGTCTTGGGAACATCATTGTCTCACATTCAGAATACAGGGGGCAGAGGCACGGTTGAGGCATTTCAATGGAATATGAGTGAATGTTATCTATAGCAGATGGAATTCTGAAACCTTTTAAAAATAAGCACTGGAGTGGAGGCTGGTAAAAAGTATAAGTAAGCCCTTGCAAAGAAAATACATATAGACAAGACTAGGGGAATGAATGTAGCAATCTGAGCAGTGGAGTTAACAGCTGGTCCCCAGACCCGTAAGCTTTTTAAGAACCAAAACTAGGTACTGTTTATCTTGCTATACCCAATGCCCAGCACAGCCATCAGCACACTGTCTGCAAAAAAGGCCTGCTTAATAAATGAAGGTAGCAAGAGAGGAGAAAAGATGTTCCAAAATGAATAGGTGGCAGAGAGTTTTTGAAGGGAAAAGAGTATAGCTGGAAAAAAACAAAGAGATTCTGGAAAAACAGTGAAATGTTTAAGGAGCTGAGCAGTCAAATCTTTTTTTTCCTTACCAAAAATTAAGGAAAATGCAAAAAGGAAGGCAGAAAGAAAGAAAAAGAATCTAAATGATTTTGAATAGAAAAAGCATTCTAATAGTCCTGAATGCAAACCTAAGGGTCATACGCTATCCCAATCATGCAAGAGGCTAATAGGCATGTAAGTAAAAAAAAATAAAGAGAAAACTAGGTACAAAGAGGCTGTCTTTTGCTTTTAAAACTTCATGAAAAGTACCTGGGGGGTGAAGATGCAATTTCAATGGTTGCCAATATTTCAAAGATGCCACAATATTTCAAAGATGCTGCTATAGATAACACAATATTTCAAAAGATGCCAACAATTGATTTCTAGGAACAGGGCTTAAGATGCCACAATATTTCAAAGATGCTGCTATAGATAACACAATATTTCAAAAGATGCCAACAATTGATTTCTAGGAACAGGGCTCTAGTTATGAGCATCTACCAAATTTTTATGAATGAGATATGAAACATAAAATACACTCTCATCTGTTTCATAAAAATGTTTCACTTAATGGGAACTTAATTAAACCACTTGCATCTATAAAAAGCACCGTTTTCCATTAGCTGTCTTCTCCGACAATCCCTACGGGATTACAAAAGAGAAGAAAGCAGTTGAAATGTTAGTCTTTGAAAACATCTTGCTATGCCAAAGAGCAAAGGAAATTTCTGGATGAATACTAAACACTCAGTGGTTGAAGACAGCAAAATCTTTTACATTTACCGAAGCTGTCTACTTCCTGGCTGGCTCCTTTTCTTTCAATTTTGTGGTAACATTCTGCAATGCAGAACTACTCTAAAATATTTTACACTGCACAATAACAAATACAATATGCTTGGTTAAGGTTTCTATTTACTGGTCATGATTATAAAATGGCGACTGGTACTGAATACAGTGTTATCTTTCTAAAAATGTCATAAACTTTGAGATTGCTTGTTTTTATCTGAAAATAAAGGCCTAGTATTTGCAAATACTGTATCTGGGTTCAATTAGCCACTGGGAAGCTCAGGAAGTAGTTAATGCATCTAATGTAATTTTCCAAACATAAATACAGCGATTTTTGAAGAAACAACAAAGCAAATATACAAAGAAGAAATGTTAAATTTCTAAGTACTGAAAAAGGTTTCCTTTAAGCAAAGATATATAATCAGTAAAATTACTGCAATTTTCACATATATATGACTACTACTGATATTCTAAAGAATAAAACTAATATATATAATAATGTATTTAATCCACAAAGTATTAGACTTAAAAAGTATTTTTTTAAGTTGCAATTATGGCATTTAAAGAAATAATACAATAACATGTATCTGGTCATACTATGGTCTAATATTAAATAAAAAATATCTAAGGATCAAAATTCTATAGATATTTGTTCCAACTATGCCAGCTTCTGGTAATTGTACTTTTCTTTTCCTCCCACTCAAGTTTATAAGTTGGTGTAATAACAAGGTCAAGAATATAGGGTAACAGCCATCGAGATAGGCTTCCATCAGAGGCACATGTTCATAAAGTAAGATTTAAAGTAGAGTTAGTGTTTAAATATTCATCTTCTTTAGAATGATGATACTGCTTTTAGTATCTTTATTTTTGCCTCTCTGTATGCTGAGATCAACTACTCGAATAAAAATACCAACTTGTATAATATGTTTGTCTGTATTATGAAGATTTCTAAAATAGTCAAAGTCATCACGTAGTGAGGAGCTACCATTTGTCAAGATTGTCATCTTTTACCATTGCAACTTTATCTTTCAAGTAACGACAAATACATTCAAACAGAATTTTTATCTCATCAAACAATATCAAACCTGAAAATAATTTGACCCCTGGGCACGGAATGCCTGCTCTTGGTCTGTACTAACTTTCCCCCTTGAACCCTGAAATCCGTAACCATGCCTTCTGTGGACTTTCCCTCTCTAGCTTATATTCTTTCTTCAAGTACCACTGTTAAAAGGGAGGGGATTTTGTGAATAGCTCCTATTCAGTTACAACAGGCCATGTAATTCTCCTGATATATACTTAAAAGGAGCACATCTATTTCTAGATGTACCTTTAGTGTGCTACAACTGTGCCTCAGTAAAACATGAAGGCTTTTTGCTGAGAACCCGAGGTGTCTCATGAGACTAAAAGTCTTTTTTTAAGAGTATAGCTTGAGTTAGCTACCTGTTTTACCATCCTCTAAAAAAATGTTAAACTCTTTAAGGTTAGGACTGCATTTGCTCATTTTATTATCACCCATGTTAGCACAGGGTGTTTTACATAAATTAGATAACAGTGTTTCATGAACTGAACTGAAGCATAACCAAGGTACATTATTACTGAGATGAGACTAATGGGAAATATGGGAAACGAGTCTGCAAAACAGAAAGCATTGTGTACCGCCAACTTAAATCTTAGAGTTCACTGCCTGCCTTACACATTCTGAGGCAGGTTTAAAGCATTCATTTGGTCTTCCTCTGCTCTCCACTTGAAACATTCAACTTAGGGTTAATTTTACAGCATATTATTTTCCTTTCTTTTTTTTAAAGTATGTTTGAATAAATGCTCTAAATCCTATGAGCAACATTAGGATCACCTGGAACTTACTAGAAATATAAATTTCCTCAGTCCCTGTTCTTGAATCAGGCATGGGGGGGATGGGGTGCAACGTGTATTTTAATAAGCCCACCAGTGATTCCGATGTACACAAGTTTGAGAACCACTGTACCAGAATTCTCTTTGGGTATGACAAATGCTGTATCTAAGTGACCCCTTTCATGCATGTCCCAACCTCTCAAGGATATAACACACCCAGGGAAAATTTAACCTATTTTTCAATTCCTAGGTCTTACAATCATGAATAATCATTTTACTTGGCAGATCTTTTAATTCTATTTGCAAAATGAATTCTCGCAATGACTGTTTCTAAAGATCTCAGCACTCACCCTTTATTATTCAGTGGTGACGTGGGGGACAGGGAAGGACAGGCCCTCTTGGCGGACGGCTCTTCCTCTTCTTCATCGGATGAACTATCTATGGTCAGGTCGATCACCTCTACTTGCTTATTTTTATTTGAGGACGGGTGATGAGAGGCCACCTGATGCTCCAATGCAGAGCTCAAGCATCCTATTTGGGAAGATTAAGACACGAGGCAAAAAAGATCTACGACACCTCTCTCTCTTTTTCAGTAGGCCTATTGATGAACTTATCTGTTTTCGTTTAGACTTACAATATTGCTAAGGTCAGGGTAGAGAACCAACAGTGGCTCTGTTCCCCTAAGCTTGAAACTAGTATTTATTATGGGTTGTTAAAAGATTTTTTGAAAAACAATTCTGAATGAGAGCAAATAATCAAAATGTATGTCCACTTGCTAATACAAGCAGTTTGAGCACGTTTACCTGTACAGTACCTGACATACTTAAGAAATGTTATGGTGGTATTTTTTTAAAAGTCATAGCTTCCTTCCAGTAAAAACATACTAAAAGCCAGGAAAAAATATATAAATGGAAAAGGAACGCTCACTAATCTGTACTAAATCAGTTAGAAAATTTAATGGATACTGTTTCAAAAGCATGATTTTACAAATGACTTATAAGATTGTTACTTTGAAATCTTATACCACAAAATTTTTAAAGGTAGCAAGAAAGTGAATTGAAAAGGACTCTTACTACTTCTGAACATTTTATCAATGATTTAATAAGTTATTGGGCTATCCATAAGCTGTTGAGTGTTTTCAAAAAAGTTATGCATTTTAATATTGAAAACCAAAGCTTTACAATAGCAGGGAGACTGTTGTTTTGGACAACTAACACTCACCATCAACTCCATTGTAAGAGGCAGAGACTTCCTGTACTTCCTTCTTTGATCTCATAGGTGCCCAAGAGCCATCCTCCTTAAACTGTATTTCATCACAATCTGTACAGTACTTTAGGATTTCCATAAATAAGCTATAAAAAACAATTTGTTCTTGAGAATCACATTCTAAATGAAGGCAGATTAGCTTTAACTATTACTATTCAAAAAACATTCAAATCTTCTATGCTTGGTACAAGTATAAATGCAAAAGAAGAAAGTGGAACTGACAAGGTATATTTGTCCTTAAAATCTAGGACTAAACAGGAAAATAGTTACTTAAATTATGCCTTTATATAAGGAAATACCATGTCACCATGAAAAATGAGGTTTCCAAAGATTTTTAATAATATGGGAAAATATTGACAGAAAGTAGGAAGAGAGCAAGAAAAGGAAACTCTGCATTTTAAAAATAAAGTTCTGAAAAAAAAATAAAAAATAAAGTTCTGCTGTGAGTGGTACATGAATAGCAGTTATCTCTGAGTGTGACATTGCGGATATGCATTTTTCTTCTTTATACATTTTTACATAGTCCAAATTGCCTATAATTTTATCTGATAAACTGAAGCAATACACACAAAAATATGTATTGAATATTTTATCTCCTTGATAAATATGCAGGTATTAAAAAATGAGATGTACAAAAAATGTATAATATTAAAGGTCAGATTCTTAGGTTACAGTATTAAATTAAATCAAAGGATAAACAAATAGCAATACTGTGCAATGACAATTATGTGAAAAGAAAAATCAGAAAACAACATGCTATAAATTCTACTTCAGTTTTCCAATTTGTGTGTGTGTGTGTGTGTGTGTATGTGTGTCTTATAGTTAAGAAAAACCCCAATTGATGAGGGGATCTAAAACTGTATAATACATAAAGTTGATAAATATTATTCGATTCAAATTTATTAGTGATCATTGTCATCTCTGAAGAATTAAAACATTTAGGTAACATATTTACTTTCACATGATGGGTCCAACTTCTTTCAAGCTCTCGGTTACACTTGTATTGCTAAATATATTCCATTCCTGTTACATCTTTAGACTCCCATGTTTTCTCAAATACTATAGATAAGTTTCCTTAAACTTTTTTGCTAGAAAGTGTAGAAAATTTCAAGAAGATCTTTCTTGTCACCATTTACCTTTGGAGGCAAAGAGGGGAAAAGAAAGGAGCACTAGAGAATGAGGGAAAATTTACAAGATGTCTGGCAGAACAGATAAAATAGGAGTGCTAAAAAAATTGTGATGCTGTAGGTGGACAAGAAAGACAAAGATGAATATTCCAGAGGAAATGAAAATAAATTAAGCTGCTATTCAGTGTGTTGATGAGTTTTAGGAGCCCTTAAAGCAGAGAAAAGGTATCATGGACCAAAAAAAGGTTACTGAGCACACACACACACACAAATCTCCAATAACAGTCTAACTTCTACTAAAAAGCCCAATTTTGGTGAGCTTGAGTTAACCAGAGTGTCACAACTCTTTCATTCTTTCTCTAATATGGTCTTCATGTCTGGGGATAGATGGATTCATGTTAGGAAAAAAATGCTAGCAGACCCTGCTTAGAGCCTTCAATGCTTTCAATGGTGATGTCAGGAGGCACTGACAGTAAAGCATGCATTTCCAAAATAAGGAAAGGGAAAAATGTTCAGAATATCAACTTACTTTAAAAATTACTGATTTCTAGAATCATGAAAATCCTAAAAATATGTAACTCAAGAAACATTGCAGAATTTTCATCCCAAATCTGAAGGATAACAAATACAGATAATAGATGTTATTTCAAGGAATAAGGAAAAACTTTAAATTGGCATACCCATCAATAATAAGGTGTTCATACGGAGCCTTCTTATCACAGACAGGACAGACCCAGGTTGGTTTTTTCTCATTCATCTGAATATAAAGAGTTGCATCAAAACACTGCAGATGGGAACATGTAAGGGCCCGACACGGAATTGTCAGCCGCATTTTACCAAGCTTTAAAAGAGGGGACAAAAGTAAATATTAGATAACTATATTCAAAATTAAAGTGTGATAAAAATTTCCTGAAACACAATGTGTATATGTTCTGATTTAAAGCATATTATGTTTACTTTTTATCAATAAGGAAGAACATTAAATATATTTTCTGTGAAACATCTACAGGTTAAAAAATCAGAATATTTCTTTGGATATTAAATACACAAACTATTATGGAAAGCCTATTCCAATCCACAGCTCATATACTGGCTTTTGGGGGAAATGGCCATGAACCCCTTGAAATTATATGTAAAATTTTCTAAGTGTGGGCATTTTTCTGGAGAGAGTGCTTTCAGCAAATTCTCAGAATAGTCCCTGATGCAAAAAAATTAAGAACCACTTTAACAGGAATTTGGGAAAGGAAAAAAGGATGTCTTATTAAATACTACAAGATACAAATATTATGACATTTACTGCCAACCTGCTCTGAATAAGAGTAGTTCACAGGTCAAAACAGAATGAATGGCAAGCATTCCCCACAATGTTTGACATCACTGTGCCAAAATGGCAATTCTAAGATGGAAGCCAGAAGTGCGCACCCTCTGTATTTCTTCTCACTAGGCACCATCACAGGCAATTCAGCAAATACCGCTGGACCTCTAGCATCTGTATCATGTTATGACTTTCTCTTCTTGCTCTGCAAATAAATGTTGTTTAAGCTGACACAGGTTGAATATGCCTTATGAACAATGAAATCTGCCTCCTCTGGTCTCTGAGCTACTAGCTTTGGCCCAAGGAAGAGAAGTTGCCAGGGAGCTGCCATATCGTGATCTCCTTCCCTGGAGAACCTCATATAGTGCAGCTGGATTACCACTGGGGCGTCCCCAGAGGCCACAATGGCATACAGTATAAAAAGTATCTATTTTCAATAACCATGTTATTTGCTTAATACCAAGAAAAGGTTTTCTGCTTATTTACGAGCTTGAAAAATAGAAAGGCTTAAAAGTGAGGAAAAAAGAGGAAAAGATCTTGGCTTGGAAGGATTTCAGGGAAATGTGCAATTTCCTAGGCTACCAAGGAAATTAACTGTCATTTAGGGCCTTAAATTATTGTTCTAGTACCAGTGATTTACTGTACCTCTAGGAAAAGCACTTAACCTTTCTGGGCCTCTCTTTGTATCTCTAATGTAACACTTACTTCAATGTTACTACGGCCTCCTTACTTCAACAGGATGTAGTGATGAAGAATAAAAAAAAGACCCAGGATGAGCTAGAAATTTATAAAAAAGGAGTAATGCTAGTTCAAGGTATCAGAAACATGGACAGGAAGGACACAGAGGAAACTGATGGCTCCCTTCTCTGTGCTCCCAATTCTGCCCCACATATAACTATACTGTTTCTTTGTGTGTTGTTTCTCCTCCTATAATACACATACTGACTTATCTCCTTATCCTGGCCTCACTACTTTCTGTGTGAATCCTAAATATATTAAGTCTCTCTGAGCCTCAGTTTTGTAAAATGGGAATAAAAATAGCATCTGTATCATAAAATTAGGGGGTTTAAAATTACAGTATGTTTACTACACAGTACCTGATGCATAGTTACTATGCTAAGTGCTCAGGTTTATGTACTGCAGAACCAGTAGGCCACTTCTGACTTTATGAAGACAATGGATAAGATGGTAAGAAATAAAGACTGTTTCAGAATCCAAGTTCTAAGCCATAGAATTCATACTCTGAAAAGCACGTTGTCTCTGAAGCCCTCATCTCACATACTGTTATCAATCCCTAGCTGCCAGTCCTCTTCTTGGTGAGAGGGAAACTCTTAAATCCTTACCAGCCACGCTGACAAGTTCACTTCCATAGTTTTTAACAACATTGCTACAGGAGTGGTGCAGGAAGGACATTTATAAACCCATAGAACAAAGGGGAAGTTCACTTTCAAATGCACTATTAGTAGTCATACAAATGCCTTGCTACAAAGAATCATAAATTAACTGCTATGTGATAATGATAATCCTCATGTTCTGGATTTTTCAAAATTCTCTCCAAATTCTAAATATGGACACTGATTTCTCCAACTTGGCATCAGGGGAGGAGCTGAGCTTTGAACATCTTCATCTTGTAATTACAAATCCCTCCTTTTCCCTTTCTTTGTAGGATGTGGTGGATATTTACATCATTTGCAAATAAGCACTTTGAAAACAACTTTCAAATGAGTTTTCTAATGCTACCAACCTCACTAGAACATAATTGTGCTATACTAGTAACCGATGATCCTGCAAAATACCCTATCCAAATAGAAGTGTAAACCAGCTTATATCACAATGACCCTAAAAAGTCCATAAAGTATGTATTTTTTCTCTGTAAAAAGGAATAGTGTGATATTAGGAATAATTTCACCACTTTTCATTTTAATCACCATCATCAATAAATATATTTCCAAGGCGTTTTGTTTTTTTATTCTATCAATTCCAAGTCATTTGTATTTGAGGTTACAGTTCTGGTATTTCACAAAGCAGATTCTCAAACATTCTTCCATCACTCTCTCTATTTGTTATTTATGTATAAATAAAGATATAAATATAAATTTATATATATACATATTTATCTATTTATTTATCTATTTATCTATCCATCCATTTATTCATTCATTCATCACTGATATACAATCCTACGCTCAGGTCTCACATGAACAGCACTGTGGTCACTACCTCCCCCTCTTATCAAGTCCCCACCACACACCCCATTACGGTCGCTGTCTATTAGCATAGTAAGATTTCCAGCTCTATTTTTAATAAATCAGAACTAAAAAATTTTCAAAGAGCAAAAATATTTTTTATTATTTTCATTGCCTTTAGCTAAATGGCATACAAACAAGAGAAACTCATTTATTTTGAGCTGTGTGTATCACCAGAGCAATTCAAATGTGCAGCCAGACATCATATTTACATATTTCAAAAGGAACAAATCTTTTATTATTCAATAAATTTGATATATAGATGAGCTGTTATTACTAAGTTTTACTTTTTAGAATAAAAACATACCTAAAATATGTCTTACTGTCCCAGAATAATTGTAAAGGGATTGTCCCTTTAGCCACATAGAAATCTATTAAAGTATTGTAATTATGGATTATATATAAAGTTTTTTTTTCTATAACCTGCATTTTGAAATCAGATGCCAATTTAAAATGAACTGCTAACACTGTTGAAAGTAAAAAGGCAGGAGCAGGGAGAGTATGGGAAGAAAAATTAAAAGCTGGCCCACTTAATACAGAGATCACCTAAACTATAAAATTCAAAACTAGTTAGTTCTATGAGTAAAAACGCCAAGATTTATATTCTAGTGTTTATTTACATGAATAAACGCCTCATCTAAATGTTAAATTATACGAACATCATATATATATATATAGCATGACTGTAGGACTTTCAAAATGAGACTGCAGAAAAACTAGCCTTCTTCCAATGATTTACATGGGAAATGAAGCTTATGTACAATTCTCAATTTCTCATATCCTATGAGTGTGTTTTATAATGGAATGGGTTGATAAAGAATCATGTGGAGGCAGAGGGTAGATAAATTGGGATTTGGGTGGAAGAGGGTAGGATAAGTATACATCTTTCTTTTTTTTATCTTTATCTTCCTACCTACCACTTACCTAGTCTGTGAACGATTTTTCTAAATGGCAAAAAATAGCAGCTTCCTTTACACCATAATCTGCTATAACATTTAATGGTTTAAGAATCAACCTACATCAGCTGGCAATAATTTTTATTGTGACAAAAAAGACCTAACATTAAATTTTCCACCTTAACCATTTTTTAAGTGTGCAATTCAGTAGAGTTAAGTATATTCACATTGTTGTGCCACAGCTCTTTTAGAACTTTTCCATCTTGCAACACAGAAACTCTGTACCCACTAAACACTAAGTCCCCCTCACCCCAACCCTTGGGTCAACCACCTTTCTACTTTGTTTCTACAATTTTGACTATTTTAGATACCTCATGAGTAGAATCACACAGTATTTATGGCTTCTGTGACTGACTTAGTATAATATTCTCAATGTTCATCCATGTTGTATGATTTCCTTAATTTTTAATGCTACATAATATTCCACTGATGAACATGGGTGTGCAAATTATCTCATCAAGATACTGCTTTAAATTCTTCTGGACATATATCCAGAAGAGTAATTGTCAGATGATATGGTAATTCCATTTTTAATTTTTTGAAGCACTGGCACACTTATTTATTTTCCGTAACGGCAGCAGCATTTTACATTCCCACCAACAACGCACAAAGGTTCCAGGGTCTCTGCATCCTCATTAACACTTGATATCATCTGTTCTTTTGATTGTGGCCATCTTGATGTGTGTGAAGTGATATCTCCTGAAGTTTTGATCTGCTTAATTTGATTTGATTTAAGGATGTTTTGATATCCTTAATGATTAGTAATGTTGAACATCCTTTCATGTGCTTGTTGGCCATTTGTGTATCTTCTTTGGAAAAATGTCTATTCAAGCCCTTTGCCCATTTTTTAATCAAGTTGTTTGCTTTTTCTGTTGCTGAGTTGTAGAAGTTTCTTATGTATTAACCCCTTATCAGATACATGACTTAAAATTATTGTCTGCCCGGGTAAGATTCCTCAAGGGAGGAACAACCTAAGACAGGCAC